CTACCCACAGGGTCAGAGCTCAGAATGCTGCAGGAGCCCAACCTCATGTGCTGCACTTCCAAACACGAATGCTGTGACTGCTGCTGCAGTGCCAAGGTGCTGGGATGGCCTCCACCAGCACCAGCATCTTCAGCCCTGCTGAACATCTCCAGGTTTCTTCCTCTTCCTCAGGGACCACACAGTCAAACACCCAGCACTGAAGGTGCTGTTATGGTGAATTTACAAATCCCAGGATGGAATGAGAACCTGCAGCAGGTTCCAAACAAGCTTTTGCTGTGGGCAGGTGTGTGAACACAAGGAATTGCCTGCTGGCTGCAGTCTGGACACTGATGCTGCTCTAACCCCTGTCAGTGACATGTGGTGGCTGCACACACAATTCCTGGGGACCAGAATTCACTATTCCCAACTCCAAGCTCCTGCCTTCCCCACCTGGTTGGCATCTCCTGCCAACTGTGCTGTCCTCAGCTCCCCAAGGCTCTGAGTTAATGCTGTGACACTTCAGGGAGCTCATTTATTGCTCCAAACTCTCAGGACACGTGACAGTCCTGGCACCATCACTCCCTGACCTCAACAACTTCATCCTCCCTCAGGCCAAGCTCTCTGCAAGAGCTGCCCCAGCTGCTTTACAACCTCCTTCTTTCCCTGCTCTCAGCTCCTCCAGATCCCCAAATTCCCCAGTGGGGCACTTCAAAAACCTGGGCTGTGCAGCTGCTCATGCCAGCACAGAGCCCACTGCTACATGCAGCAGATTGCCTTGAGTGGGCACCTGGGGAGCAGAAAATTAAATCCAGGCCAGAAAAAGACAGTTTCTTAAAAAAGAAAGAGGGCAAGAGTGCAAAACCTTGTGGGCAAAGCTTGTGCCCAGCTGCAGCTGAGTCTTGGACTTTTGGGAAAAGGCAGGAAGAGTTTAACTGCTTCACTCCTGAGCTGCTGACAGGGAGGCAAAGCACAACACACACACACCTGCCTTCAACTGCTTGTTATTTCTGCTCAGGGTATGAAAAAACTCTTGGCTTCTGACTCAAGAAACATTTATCAGGAGAAAATATCTTTGCTCAAACTGTGTTTGTGCTTTTTAACCCCCGAGGCTCAGCTCTGCAGCAGCACTCAGCTCTCAGCAACTCCAGAACACAAACACTGGCCATGTGCAGGGGAAGCTGAATGGCTCAGAAAACCCCCACAAGAAAGGTTGGGGAAATGAGATGTTGAAGTGCACCAGGTTGCTGGCTAATCCTCACCATATGTGTCTGCATAAATCTTTGCAAAAGACCCCAGTGTGAAGCAGATGCTGTACTGAGAGCTGGAGAAGCACACATTCCCCAGAAGGGGAGACAGCACGAGGTTCTCATCGGTGGAATACATGCTGAGAGGAGAAAAATAAAATCAAATCAATGTTATGAACCAAAGAAGACACTTCAGCCCACTTCCCACACCCCACAGCAGTGACAGGCAAGGAGCCTGCATTGCCAAAAAGCATCTTTAAACAGGCTGCAGCTTGCTTGCCATCAGAATCTCAGGGTCAGGAACATTTTCTGCCTATAAATTTCAAGCATTAATGCAAAGATTTAAAGATCCTAGAACTACAAAGTCACCAGCACGAATGCTTCAGATTTTTTTATCTGGGATAACTTTTCTTCTTCTAAAAAAGCAGCCAAGCTGGTCAACCAAGTAAGGGAAAAGAAAATACAGGGATATAATTTAAATCCAAACAGGTTTAATGAGCTCACAGCCATGCTAGGAAGGATGAATTATTCTGCTCTCAGCACACACTAAACAAAAACAAGCCAGGGAGCTTGTGGGCAAACAGACACACACTTGAAGGGCAGAATGCTGTTAAAAAATCCCTGGGTGCAGAAGAACCCACAGAAATGTCTAAGATGTCCCTGGCAAGGAGATTGGATTGTGTCAGTATCAAAATCCTTCTCCAGGAGTTGAGACAGCAAATCCTCTTTTAGTTTTGTAGCAAGTATTTAGGAGCTCTGAGATATCTCAACCTCCAGTTTGGGATACAACCCAATAATTTCAGTGTATTTGAGACATCTGGGAGCACAAATTCCCTGCTCTGGTCATATGTCCACTTTCTTTACCTTTTTAATGGAGGAGAAATGAAATGGGGCAGGGGAAATGAAATCCCTGGAGTTTGCCAGGAAGAGCCAATCCTCCTTAATTCAATGTATCAGCTGAGATGAACTCCCAGTGGTTCTTCCTGGCCCATTTTCTATGACTCAACACATCAATGGACAAACTGAGGAGTTCTCTGTGAGCCATGGGACAGGGACAGCAGCACCAACAATGCAGCCTCACCTGATCAGACCATTAACTTCATCCACAATGTGTCTGAGCTTGTAGTAAGCATCTGTGGGGGGCAGTTTGAGCTCCAGGATGAGTCTGTCAATCTTGTTGATGCACACAGTCACAGCCAGCCTCTCCTGCACCGCATGCTTGATCAGCCTCTCTGTGTTCAGCATCACCTGCAGGGAGCAGAGAGCTCAGAGCCCCAGGAAAATCCACCAAAATGTTATCTGAGGCATGAGGGACAACCAGTGACCCTTATTCTGCTGCCAGGCTGCAGAAAAGCCCAAGCTCAGCAAGCAGCTAATCCTGAAATTCACAAATAGGTGCTAACCCAACCAAATTCCTTGAATCCAAGCCTGTGGACATCTCTGATATAAATAAGCTGCTCAGTTTTAGGTACCATGGGCATGGAGATGCACACCAGTCACACAGTCAGCCTGCAGGCCACAGCATCCCATCAGTGTGGACACAGCAGCCACAGGCTTGGCTGCCTGGTCAGCTGGAAAACACCCTCAAAGTGCCCTCCAAAAACCCTTCACCCCAGAAAGCTGAACCCATCCCAAGCCTTCATGCTGAGGAAGGAGCACAGAGTGCACAGGGAGGGATGGAACCCCAGGAGGAGGAGGAGGAGGAGGAGGCACTCACCCCCTCGGCCGCGTCGATGAAGAGCACGACGCCGTCCGAGATGCGAAGGCCAGCGGTCACCTCGTCTGAGAAGTTCACATGACCTTCAAAACCACAAAAAAGGGGGCAGTGAGAAGCACAGAGAGCCCTGGTGCAGCAGCAGCAGCACACAGGGTGGGAAGCTATGGGGCTCTGCAGATTCCTCTGGTTGCTGGTACCCAGAGAGGCAGAGCAGGGATGGTTCCTCCTCAGACAGGGACATGGGAGCAGCTGCCAGCGCTCTCCATGAGGGTTTAGCCACAGCTCTAATGCTATTTTTTTAAAATACACACAAGTTGTTTAACAGACACTTTTCCTCACATTTGTGACTGTTTTTCTCACAGCTCTGTGCAAGGACTTTGAGAAGAAATCTTCCTTCTTTTCCCAAAGACAACAGATGTCTCTCCCCCCAGCCTCCTCCTGCACTCTAACCTCGCTCATCCTGAGCTGTAGCTCAGCAGATGTGTCCCAAGACCCTCCTCCCTAAACTTTCTTACAAATTCATCTGTGATTATTTTCCCTCTACAGAAGGAACTTGCTGAGTCTCACTGTGGGGCAACAGCATTTGAGCAAAGCAGGGTCAATACTGCACGTTGCAATAGCTGGGAAAATAAATTCTCCCTGTGCTGCTTGAGAAAGACCTCTGCAGCCTCATCAGCTCTTAATTAGGCCAGCTAATCACAGACATGAGCCTGATCTGTCCCTGCCCATGGCAGAGGGTTGGAATTAGATGGACTTTAAGGTCCCTTCACCCCAAAGCACCCTGGGTGATTATGGGTCAGTGCTGCTGGAAGTGACTCCACAGGAATGAACCCAGCTGAAGGCTCAGCACTAGGCTGGAGCCAGCCATAAAAAGTACAAAACAAAGCCAAGTGCTTCCCACAGCAGGATTTCCAGGAGTGCACAATCACCTGGAGTGTCAATGATGTTGAAGAGGAAAGATTTTCCTTTGGTGTCTGGCAGAACAATTGTCACTGGGGTGCTCTTGATCCCCACTCCCCTCTGAAACACAGGAAATCAAGATTACAGCTTTAAAAAAATAAACAAAAGGATCACCATGTACAGAAACACAAGGATCATCTCTAAAAGAACATCAAGGAAAAATCAGAAAGATGGAAAGAAGTAAATATTCATCCTGGAAGAGAGTAATAACCTCAGATCACCAAAGTAATAACCTCAGATCACCCAGCCCAGCTCTCCCATCTGTACTGGTCAGACTGGGGAGCCACCACTGCACCCTCAACACCTGATCTCAGCTGAGGAGGTACCACAGGCAACACCTGAGACAGAACGTGGGTGTTTGTTTGTGCTTTCACCCTCTGCTGCCACCAAGTTATGCCTCAAAGCACAAGATATGATCACACAGAGTCTAAAATATAAACACTGAGAGGAGAAAAAAAAATGCTTCAAAAGATTGTTCTGGTCATGACACAAAATAACATTCCCACTCATGCCCAACACAGAGTCAGAGAAGAAGAAATGTATTTATTTTGAAATATTTTTTTTCCTCTTCTACCATTGGTGCAAATCCCTTCCTCCTTTTTCTCTCAAAGAAAGTAAGAATTAGCCCCAGACCGGGGAGACTCTGCTGCAGATTTAACATTACACAGGTTATAAAATCATACACGGAGATGAGGGAAGGAAGTTGGATCAGGAATCTTCCTGAGGCAAACAAGAGGAGCAGATTTTTTTTAATTAATAAAGAAAATAACCAAAATGTGGAAAGCACAGAAAGGCATTAAAATGGACAAGGAAACTGCATATAATAGCTGTGAGTAAAGCATGAGACAACTGGATAAAATCAGTACAAGGCCACTCACCTCCTGCTCTGTGAACAATATATCAGTGTAGCAAAGCTGCAAAGGCAAAACAAAAATCAGAGAGTCACATTTTGGTACCAGATACTCAGTTTGAAGCAGGACACAACAACTCTGGCACATCACTAAGGGGACAAGTAAGGGATAGAAGCAGGAACATTTTCATACAATTCATAGATTCATTTTCATATAATCCATCTATTGATTCACATAATGCATTATGTGTACATTATATGCATTTCACATATTTATATACATTTTCATGTAATTCTTATATTCATTTTCATGTAATTCATACATTCATTCATATAATGCATTATGTGTATATTATACACATTTCACATTTATATACATTTTCATATAATTAATATATTATTTTTCATATAATTCATATAATGCATGTGTATATTATACACATTTCACATATTATATACCTTTCATATAATTCTTATATTAGTTTTCATATAATTTATATATTCAATAATATAATGAATTATGTGTATATTATATGCATTTCACATATTTATATACATTTTCATATAATTCATATCATGCATAATGTGTATATTATACACATTTCACATATTTATATACATTTTCATATAATTTATACTTAATTTTCATATAATTCATATAATGCATAATGTGTATATTATACACATTTCACATAATTATACACATTTTCATATAATTCTTATATTAATTTTCATATAATTCATATATTCATTCATATAATGCATTATGTGTATATTATACACATTTCACATGTTTATATACATTTTCATATTATTCATATATTATTTTTCATATAATTCATATAATGCATAATGTGTATATTACACACATTTCACATTTATATACATTTTCATATAATTTATATATTAATTTTCATATAATACATATAATGCATAATGTGTATATTATACACATTTCACATGTTTATATACATTTTCATATAATTCTTATATTAATTTTCATATAATACATATAATGCATAATGTGTATGTATATTATACACATTTCACATTTCTATACATTTTCATATTATTCATATATTATTTTTCATATAATGCATAATGTGTATATTATACACATTTCACATTTATATACATTTTCATATAATTTATATATTAATTTTCATATAGTTCATATAATGCATAATGTGTATATTATACACTCCCTTAGGGTGTACATAATATATAATCCAGAGGTAGAACTGAGCTCTGGCTTCCCAATCCTACATTCCAGCCCCAGAACCACCCTGTCCCCATGCAGTGTCCCCTCCCTGAGGGTGTATGTAACACAAAATGCAGAGCTAAAACTGAGCTCTGGCTTCCCAATCCTACATTCCAGCCACAGATCCACCCTGTCCCCACGCAGTGTCCCCTCCCTCAGGGTGTATGTAACACAAAATGCAGAGCTAAAACTGAGCTCTGGCTTCCCAATCCTACATTCCAGCCACAGAACCACCCTGTCCCCATGCAGTGTCCCCTCCCTGAGGGTGTAAAAGCCACCCCAGGGTGTCCCCAAGGTGGCAATTCCACAGCAGCTCACTCACATCCTGATCGTCGCGTTTCCGGATCTCGGGGTGCGTCTGCTCTATCAGGCAGTCAACAAAACACGTCTGCAAAAGAGCACAGAGAGGAGCTGCCTCTCTTCAGACAGACACAAACACAGCCCCATCCCTCCAGCAGCAGCACAGAAAACCTACTAATTCAACCTACAAAAATATCTGCACGTTTCACAGGGAAACCTAGTGTCAGGACAAGGGGGAATGGCCTGAAGTTGGGGGACAGCAGGGTTGGGGGGGTATTGGGAAGGAATTCCTCCCTGAGAGGGTGAGCAGGCTCTGGCACAGGGTGCCCAGAGCAGCTGTGGGTGTCCCTGAACCCCTGGAAGTCTCCAAGGCCAGGCTGGATGGGGCTGGGAGCACCCTGGGACAGTGGGAGGTGTCTCTGTGCCACTGGATGAGTTTTAATACCCCTTCCAATTTACCCAATCCATGTTTGGATTCTGTAAATAAGTGCATGAGCAGAGAAGCAGAAGGTGCTGCTGCAGATAACCAGGGGCCAGGAGGGCTGACAAAGCAGCAGGTCACCCTCACTACCCCTGATTCTGGATTATTCTGGCCATTGACAGCACCTTGCCGTGGTGCAGGTGCCCACACAGAGTCACATTCCGGATCAGCTCCGAGTTGTCCATCAGATCTGCCAGGAAACTGCAGGAACAAAAACACAAAAGGCTGTTGGAGGGTTTCTGCTGTGCCTAAGAAAAGTAGGTGCTGCTTTTCAGCTCCACTTTCTAGCCAAGGTGCCCCCTGAATCTTTGCCAAACTTTTATCCTGGCAGTGCCCTGCGGAGGAAGAATCCCACTTTCCAGATGGGGAGGACAAGAGAGTTGGAGTCCCAGACAGATGGCAGTGGGTGGGAGGATACAGAGCTGGTAAAGCTGCCAGCAATTGAATATTATTGAATATTTTTCTTCTCTTCTAGTCAGTACTGGAGCAAAAATCACATCCATGTACTCAGATGATGAAGCACTTGCACTCAAAGCAAGACAGGCAGGCAGGTAAATGGTGGTGGATAACAAGCACCCCATGGAGCTCTGAAAGCAACCACAGACCATTCATTCTGATTTTCAAGCCTTAAAACAGTGACATTCCAGGCACTTAAGGAATTAAGTCTTTTTCAAATTAGCAGCTGAGTTGGGTAATGATGAGCTGGTCACTTCTGGATGGATGCTGGCCAAAAGATAATTGAGATCCTAAATTACCACCCCTAAAAAATAATGGGAAGCTATAAAACATGCAGCCACTGCCAGAGGCCTGCAGAGAATAAGTGCTGTCAAATAATTTCCTTTTTAAACAGATTAAATTTTCACTGATACAACAGACTTCTTAATGTAAAACATTTTGATTAAGAGCTAAAAAATACAGCAATCAATATTAACCCTGATTAAAACCTTCCTAATTGGTCTGAAAATAAGGCTAAATGGGAAATCAATACCAAGCTTGCAGGTTTCTGGCTACATCCCACAAGGAATTTCTTGTGGCCCATCCTAACCAATTCTATCAACAAATAGGAGAAAAATGAATTAATTACAAATGGAATGAGCAGGGAAGTGGTGGATAATGCAGAGCTCAGGTCAGGGACTGAGAAAAACCAGCCCCAGCAGCTCCTGGGCTCTGCTCCAGCTCTGCTGAATTCCCCCTGGGCAGCTGAGGGACCCCTGAGGGAACACCAGCTCCAGGAACATGTCCAAATCTTAAAATAAAATTAAATTTTTTTAATGCATTTGGAATTTTTTCCAGGTTTTCTCCCAGCCCTGGTGTCCAAGAAGCTGCTTTGGGACACAAGGAATGGACCCAGTGTCCTGCTGACTGCCCAGCACTCTGCAGTCACCCAGCAGCAGAAAAACTCCCAGTGGAAACTGGAATGGATGGGATCTAATCTGGGATCAACCCACAATGTGCCAGTATGATGTGTGCTACACACTGAGCATGTGGATATTGAACAGGGTGCCCAGAGCAGCTGTGGCTGCTCCATCCCTCGGACAGGGCTTGGAGCACCCTGGGACAGTGGGAGGTGTCCCTGCCATGGCAGGGGTGGCACTGGGTGGGCTTTAAGGTCCCCAACCCATTCCAAGAAGGTTTCCTGAGCCACAAGCTGTTGCTATGGGCTCATCTCAGCCTCTGAGGTGAAATTCCTTCTGTGGCCAACCTTACCCTGTGTCGCAGACATTCTTTCATAGAAATCCTTTCTTTCACATTTGTCCATCTTCTGGGAAGCAGAGCCCCAGAAGAAGAATGTAAACAATTGTTATCAGCTGCTGTGAAATGTAGCAGGTGCCCCTGTGATTGGCTCATCTTCCATGTGTACCATTAAAGGCCAATCACAGGAGCAGCTCAGGGACAGATTCCCTGGACACAGAACTTTGTTATTCATTCTTTCTATTCTATTCTTAGCTTAGCAGCTCTCTGCAACTTCTCTTCTTATTCTTTTTAGTATAGTTATAATGTATTATATATCTTATATCAATAAATCAAGCCTTCTGATCAAGAAACAAGATTCTCGTCCTTCTCTCACCACAGTGACCGTCTAAGGCCACTGTAATAACCCTGTGCCCATTTTCCACGGGAAGGGAAACTGAAATAGTTTGTCCTGCATTTCTCTTGTTTTGGGTTCAGAACCTGGGAATTGGCTGCTCTCAGGTCAGTGAGACCCCCAGATCTGTCCCCCCCAGCCCCACACTCACTCCATCTCGTAGACAGTGACTGGCAGTGTCTGCTCCATCAGGGAGAACTTCTTGGTTTTCACAGGTTTGATGATGGGCTCTAAAAGAAGAGACAAAAGAACAAACTGTTCCCAGAGCCCCTGAGCCAGCAGGGTCAGGAATGGCCCCAGGAATGGGGAATTTAGCTGAAAACCCCTCAGTTTTCTGGCTGACAGATTCTCTCAGCTGTTTGTCACAGCTGCAGGAGAAGGTCACTGCAGGGCCCTTCCAGCTGAGCAAGAATCAAAGGAGAGCATTTAAATGTATTTATTCTCCATTAAATCACTTTCCCATCTCTGCTGATTCCTGTTCTTCCAAAGACACCTTTGTTTGTGGTTTTTGCAAACCAAAGTGCCCAAATCTGCACACAGCAGGCAGAGATCTGAGGCTATGAGTGGGCTCCAAAGGGGCAGGACAGAAGGAATTTATATTATATTATATTATATTATATTATATTATATTATATTATATTATATTATATTATATTATATTATATTATATTATATTATATTATATTATATTCATAAAATATGAATATAAATATAATATATTTATTTAAATAGATACTATAATATTATATTATATTATTATTATGTATAATGTATATTATATTATATTATATTATTAAAATCTTATCATATTATGATCATATCAAATAATATTACATCATATCATATTATAAATATGCAATAATTATATATTAATATTAAATATTATTATACATTCTTTCCCTTTTCCAAGGATCCCCTGAGAGATCACTCACCAGTGAGTGGCTGTGTGTCCTCCTCCTGCACGATGGTCTCCACCTCAGGCCCATAGACCTCCTCTGCTGTGGGGTAGTACTTCTTGTCCTCATGCAGCACCACCTCCATGCCAGGGTGCTCCTCATCATGTTCTCCCATGTCATCATCATCATCATCATCCTCCAGCTGCAACCAAAGCTCTGCTGTGGAGCCCCCCAGGGGGACAGGCCTGGGGTGACCCCCGAGCCAGGGAGCCCCAGAGCAGCCCCAGCACCCACAGGGGTGCCCTGGGAGCAGCTCCTGGGTCAGGGACAGCCCCTGGGCTTGCAGGGACACCACAGAGGCCAAGAACCACACCTGGTGACACAAACCCCACTCACAGGGCAGCAGGACACCAATCCCCAAAACCAATTCAGGGCACAAACCCCAAAAATCAGCCCCAAATCCAGGGCACAAATCCCAAAAATCAGCCCCAAATCCAAGGCACCAATCCCAAAAATCAGTCCCAAATACAAGGCACAAATACCAAAAATCATTCCCAAATTCACGGCACAAATCCCAAAAATTAGCCCCAAATCCAGGGCACAAATCCCAAAAATCAACTCCAATCCAAAACCCCAATCCCAAAAATCAGCCCCCAATCCAAGGCATCAATCCCAAAAATCAGCCCCCAATCCAAGGCACCAATCCCAAAAATCAGCCCCAAATCCAAGGCAAAAACTGCAAAAACCAGCCCTAAATCCAGGGCATCAATCCCAAAAATCAGCCCCCAATCCAAAGCACCAATCCCAAAAATCAGGCCCCAATCCAAAGCACCAATCCCAAAAATCAGCCCCCAATCCAAGGCACCAGTCCCAAAAATCAGCCACAAATCCACAGCACCAATCCCAAAAATCAGCCACGAATCCCAGGCACAAAACCCAAACATCAGCCCCACATCCAAGGCACAAATCCCAAAAATCATTCCCAAATTCACGGCACAAATCCCAAAAATCAGTCCCAAATGGGAAGGGGCTCCCTCAATTCCCCCATGGGGCAGCCCCTCTGCTCCCCCCCTGTCTTTGGGGTCTTGCTCTGCCTCCCCCATGAAAATCAGGCTCCCTGTGGCAGCCTCAGCTCCCTCCCAAGGGGCTCCCAATGGGGCCTGACACCAAACCCAGCCAAACCAAACCCAGCCACAGGAGCTCCCGTTCACCATTCCAGCAAGATCTGTGTTTTTCTCTTTACCACAGA